ATTTTCATGAAGAACTTAAAACCTCAGAAGGCAGCTACCATCATGATCACCAAACATTAATTCGTGTTCCAACATGTGCCAGGAACAAGAATTAGAAATACTTCAGAATCTTTAAGTCTAATTGGGGGAGGTAGAAAAGAAACAGAACGAAAAAGGTAGTAACCCCGAACAAAACTGTTGGTTCCTAGAGCTACAGGGGATCACACTGGGCATTTTTTCCAGTCCCATCTCTGGATTTCCTCCCTGCAGTCACAAGTTTAAAAATTTCACTTGTATTTCAAAACCCAGGTCATTGGACACACTTTTTTCAAAGACTTTCAAAGCCTTGAATCTAAGATGTACTTCATTTATCCCCAAATCAGAAGTGATTTCTCAATTCTTTCAACTCCCGCAGCAGCTAATCTGTTTCTCTCCTGGGATACTTGTATCATAATTATTTATATACATGATTTATTTCCAGGGCCAGATTAGATTAGAAACCTCTGGAGGACAGAATCTATGTATCTGTAAATCTCAATATAACCCAGCACAAGGGGCTGGGGAGGGAGGGAAATGGGGAAATGTCGGTCAAAAGTCAAAAACTTCCAGTGAGAAGATGAGTAAGTTCTGGGATCCGAAGTAGAGCATGATACTTAGAGTCAGTAATACTGTATTACATTGTATACATATACTGAAAGTTGCTGCGAGTAGAACTTAAATGTTCTTACCAGAAAAGGGAATGGTAATTACGGGAGGTGATGGAAGTATTAACCAATATTCTGGAGGTAATCATTTTGCAAGATGTAAGCGTATAAATCAGTGTGTTGTGTACCTTAAACTCACACAATATTGCATGTGTCAGTTTATATATATATATATATATATGTGTGTGTGTGTGTGTGTGTGTGTATATATATATATATATATATATTCAATAAAGCTCTGGGAGGGAACACCATGAAAAAACAAAACAAACAAACAAAAACCAGTATGGAAATACAGTGCTGAGATCTTGGGGCAGCTTTTCAGATGCTGAACCTATATTTTTGCCCAGCCCTATGGTATTCCTTCTCCATCCCTAAAATCAGTCTGTTACAAGAAAGGATCTAATTGACTTTTCCACTAATCACCAACGAAGCAGCTAATATATTTTCGCCCTCCAAAGATCAACTTATCAAAGAAACTATTTCAAATACCAAATATTCTCTTGTACCTATTAGTTTACAAGTTCCACAGAAGTCCTAGTGTTACTTATTGCTGGGGGAAAAGGAAGGCAAAAGAGCAAATATACTTAGGTAGAGACCCTGCCTGGGATGCCCTCCACTCACCCGCTCCACCTGAGCAAGGCCAAGACCACTCCTACCCACGGTGCCTTCAGTCCATATGAATCTGCAAAGCAAAAATTCCTGCAAAGGAAGCTGGGCCTCAGAACTGGGCTACACAGGATTTCTCAGCTACGGCATTTCAGAAAATGTGAAATTGGATCTTGATCATTGGGAACCTGCCATCATCACTGAACAGAGAAAAGCAGACAGACATCTGTTCTGTCCGGGAACACAGGCAGCATACTAATCGCGGGCTACTGCCTGGTAAGGAACACTGTGGCCTCAGCCTGGGACGGGCTGCAGTCACCCTGGGAGCAAGGGAGGCCACCACCCAAGCCTCCTGCCTCTCATCAGTGAGTGAACAAATTATATGGAGCCCATTCTCCATCACTGTCCCTTCCTCCCCTTAGAGGTCCTGGATTCCAGGGACAAATCTGAGAAGTGAGATTACAAGCTGAATCCTGTGCTTTTCATTCCCTAAGCCCGTCATAATACTCTCTCCTCTCCTCCTTTTGTCCCAGTCTCATCCCCCTGGCAAGACTCATCCCCAGATCCTTGTTCTTCAACCACTGATTCATCTACCAAACATGAGTACTTACTTTATACAAAGTGATGTGCTAGTCCTTGTGCGAGATCCAAAGTGGATTGTGGGTAGATCCTTCTTTTACGACGTTTACAAGCCTGGAAAGCAATAAATACATAAATAATGTCAATAGAAGGCCAAAAAAAAAAAAAAGTGGCAGTAGCATAAGACAGATAAGACAGGATGTTCAAAATAAAGAGCAATGACCTCTATTCAAGTATGTCAAATAAGGCTTCATTGAAAAGGTGGTGGTCACATTTGGACTTGAAGAATGAGCAGGACTTGGAGTCATAGATATGGAGGAAGAAGCACAAAGAACCACCAAAGGAAATAAAGAAAGAACATGCAAGCTGTGTTTACAGAACACCGAATACATTCAGAGTGATGAGAAATGAACTTAGAAAGGAATCATGAAATATCTACATAGGCAGGTTAAAGCCTAATTATAGCATCCCTTCTGGAAAACAACTTGAGCATCGACGACCTCTCCTGACTCCCTCTCTCTGTCACTTTCCATAACACTTCTGTCTTCATCTCCCCTTCTGAGCTCTGATTGGCAGACATTCCATAAGTGTGTGTTGAATAATGAATTAACAATACCTTCGCTGGTCAGTTTTTTTATGTAACATAACCCAGGGAAATTGTGTAGTATGTTCTAAGTGAAAACTTAGTTGCTTCCCTAATGTTTGCAAAGCTAATAAATAAAACCTATGGACTTGAGAAAGGCAAGATAATAGTGGTAATTCACATTTAAGGGCATCTTGAGATGTGTAAATCATCTTACTCTATCTCAAGTTACTTCAGACTGAGAAGGACCTAAAGGCAGATGTGCTAGAGGAACCTGGAAGAACTGGGTTGCCCCTGAGCTCCTGGACAGGCATATCCCCAACCCCCAGGCTCCCAGGCCCCATGCTACCTCATCAGAAACATCCACCGAGAGGCCAGAGATAGCACACATTGAAAACAGACCTGGTGAAAGAATACATGAAGCAAATGGAGAATGCTTGGAAAACTGAGAAGACTTGAGATTCCCAGCTGAAATTATTTACCAGCTCCCAAAACATTCAGCTAAGGAGCACCTGGGTGGCTCAAGGGGTTGGGCGACTGCCTTCAGCTCAGGTCATGATCCTGGAGTACCGGTATCAAGTCACACATCGGGTTCCCTGCTCAGTGGGGAGTCTGCTTCTCCCTCTGACCTCTCCCCTCTCATGCTCTCTCTCTCTCTTTCTCTCTCTTATTCTCTCTCTCTCTCTCAAATAAATAAAATCTTTAAAAAAAAAAAAAACATTCCGCTAAACCATCACCACCACCATTATCAGCATCATCATCGTGATAATTTACTGAGTACTTACTATGCACCAGGCATTGTAATAAATGCTTTATAAATAGAATTTCATTTAATACCCCTAACTGTTATATGGAGAAATATTATTAAAACCATTTTATAGATGAGGAGAATGAGGTATAAGTGGTGAACCCAGCGGACCAGGTTTAACAGCAGGAGTTGGCAGAACCAGGATTAAAACTCAGATCTGTTCAATTCCAAGCCCTATTCAGACTACCTGTCTGCATGTCTAATGGATGATGGATTCTTCATGCACTGTCCGAGGAGGCCAGGACACTTAGCAGAAACCAACACGGTAGGCAATTGGCAGTCAGCGGTGCCCTTGACAGAATGTGACAGAGCTCCTGACTCTTACTGACTTTCAAGGATGGAAAACACAGCAGACATGTCACAACCTAAGAATAAATAAATGTTCACCAGATCCACTCACTGAATATAAGAAAAGCAGGCTAACAAGCAACATGTCAAAACTCCTTAAAGAAGTACTTTTCGAAGACTGGGAAGGACCTACATGTATCAACAGTGTCGAAAAGTAGTGTAGAAACTTGGGGCAAGAGCTGAGAACCAAAAGAACGGAGAGTACACAGTCATCCCCGTGGTTCCTCCCCCTCAAAACATTCTCTCAGTATTTGCCTTGGTCTGTCCTCCCTTTAATGAAAATAGAGTTGCTTCTTTGTGTTTTTTCAGGCAAGATATCATTTATATGCTCAAGCTTGTCTGGGAGATAAATCTACAGATTCCAGCCCTCCTCTCCCATGGAGTAGTAGTGTGACCTGTGACAAGTTATCACGAGCCTTTGTCACTGTGGGCGCAAGCCACTTCTCTCTATACCTCGGCCTCCTCATCTGTAAAATTGAGATAACAAAGAATACTTCCCCTCCCCCACACACAGAACTGATGTGAGGGTTTAATATGCTTATAATTAACAGATACCTAATGTGCCTTAAGCAATGTCTGCCCCGCACACAGTAAGCACTAGGTAAACTGAGGTGTTCTAATTCTATGTGCAGAACCACTGGGCAAATACTACTTTTGCAGTCATTTCATTAAATCCCACTTACCAGGGGTCTGCAGAGTCTCCCGAAGCAGGAGTCACTGTATTTACATGTTAACCTGCCCACACCTACACACATTTTTCTGAAATTTTCACAGGTAATTTCTAGTGTGTTCTTGCTTTCACGCATCAGTGTGTGTTTTTTTCTTGAACAGCGTCCCTGAATTCACGCTCTTCGTCGTCCTTCCGTTCTCCCGTGGGGAGTCCCTGACGTTGGGACCTCACAGTGCTCAGTGGTGCCAAAGCGGGAAGGATCTTTCAGCAGGGCCGCGCTCCACCTGCCCAGCGGAGCTCCTCTCCTCGCGTGTCGCATCAAGGGCAAAACTTAGGGTCCTGAGAGGCCTCTGCATACCCCCAGATGTACCCCAATTGGGGCGGTGGTGCGAAAAGCTCAGCTCAGGTGGGCCTGCCTCCTCCACTTAGGAAATACCACGTGGTGCACCTGCTGGGCCAGGCACCGTGCTGGGCAGCACGAGACACTAGGACCGCAGGAGGCCAGAGCTGGCGCCCGGCGCTCCCCCAGGCCACAGCGGCCGCCGCACAGACAACCAGCCGCCTCCTCCCGCTACCCCCCACCCGGGGGCGCGCGGCCGGGCGGGGACGGGGTCGGCGCAGGCGCCCGGCGGGGCCCCGCCCACGCGCCGCCCGAGCGCGCCCCGCGGACGCACGTGGCCCTTCCGGCGGCCGCCGCAGCTGCGCGGGCCTCGGGCGCGCGGGCCGCCCAGCTGTCAATCACGCGCGGGCTGAGCTCCGCACGGCGGGAGCGGCGGCGGCGGCGGCGGCGGCGGCGATGATGGGACCCCGGCGAGAGATCTGCGGCTAGCTGGCTGCACTTGCTCCACGGGTCAGGGGATCGGAGGGGCCAGGTAAAGCCTTGCGGAGCCCAGGGCAGGTTTTCTGTGCTCCGTTTGTCTCTCCCCACTTCTCCCGCTCCTCCCTTCCTGTCTCCTGCCTCTCTCACGCGCACATATTCCTGATCTGTTTTTCTGTGTCTGTCGCACATACACAACCACACACACACCCCTTACTCATTCACGTTTATTATATGTGCACGAATCTCTACAAAGATCTTGCGTTTTAAAATCCGGGAGCACATCCAAATTAGGGGTAGCCAACTCCATGCTTTGGTGATTTGTGGTTTGTGTTACGTAAGAACTGGGGAGGTATACAGGGAAAACTTAAGAGTTTCTTTCCCGGGAGACAAGAAAAGTTATGGATTAGGTAAGAGTCAAATACGTATTGGAAGTTTGCAAAGCTGGTTTGATTTGTTTTCAAGCTGAATTTACCCCACCCCCACATACTAGCCCTCCCCATTCCTTTGCCATATTCAAAGATATGTGAGGGCTTGGATATAATCTCAGGACCTACTTCTTTGTGTTGTTAGAAAGAGGCGTTGGGTGGGGGTCAGAGCTGATGACCTCAAAGAAAACACAGCTGCAGTTAAACAGCTGGTGTTTACTTAATTGGTTCCTGGCTCTGAAGCAGAAATGTTTTCAGCACGTTGGAGAGATCCCGGGGCTCCAGACCAGGCCAGCCTTTCCTAAAGGGCAAGTGAGGAGTCATTTCCTTCAGAGAAAAGGGGCAAAAAGACAGACAAAAAGAAGAGACATTTAATTGAGAGAGAGGCACGGATGGGGGCCAGGGGGGTGGGGTGAAGACCACTTGTTTTCTTTCACTTATCCAGATCCAGGATCCTAATATAATTTGCTCCCCCAACCCCCCTCCAAATCTGCTCGCATACCACCTACAAAATAAAATTTTAGGGCAAAGAAATGAGTCTTGAAGAAGGTTTTACTATGGCTCAGAGAGGCTGAAACTGGAAAATATAGAAAACAGTCTGTCAAGCCTCAACTAGACGTGCTCACCTCACGTCTTTGAGGTTCTTGTCCAAATGGAACTGCTCGTCAGGAAGAATTTTTAGTGACTTCTTGAAAAATATTGCCCAGCCATTATTTTATTTCACATGACTAGAGTAATGTAGGGCGCCAGTATCTCTAGAGCCAGCCCTGATGCTTTAATTAAATCTTGCATGGGCACCTGCTTTTCTTAGGCAGACGGAAAGTAAAATGATCATGATAGGAAGAAATGGATGTAGGAGTGAAAAGAATCAACCCAATGAGTAAATCATCTAAAGAACCTCAATAAGTCTAAAATGCATGTAAACAGATTGAAAATACCATGGCTATAAGATTAATTTACTTTACAGTATAATGGAACAGGCACCAGATAGATCAATTCTGGAGTATCTAGGGAGCAAATAAAGTTTTTATTTAGAATTTTTAAAATACAGGTGTATTAGTCTAGTTGTATTACTGACTATGCAGAAGATAATTATATCAAAATAAGGATAGAGTTTGCATAGTATGTTATAGTTTACAAAGCCCATTTATGTTGTCTTATTTACCCTACAAAGTCTCCTGAGAGCCCATTAAAAAGTTATGAAATATGTATACTTTTGTTAAGAACAAATAACTCCCTGCTCTTCAGCAAGAAGTCTTTTGCCCATGTTTTTGTCAACATTAAAGTGACTCTTTACAGGTCGTAAGAATAGCTTATGAAATTCAGATTTTTATCTATATCACATTCTGCAGAGTTTTGGGTTTTGTTTTTTTTTTTCCTTAAATAGGTTTGAAGGACGATGTGCCGTTAAAAAAGAAAGGCCAAAGACTAAACAAGGAGAAGAGGAAGAGGAAGACTTCAAAGGTAAGACTCCATCCTTGTCATAAGCAAATTCATAAGCACCTTGTGGTTTGCATGTAGATAAAGAGGAGGTTTTAAGAGAATATGAGTTCTTTTTCTCTTCTCATTTTGATTTTGGACTTTGTATACCTTACTTTAAAAAAACACCTTGAAGGAGTAATAAGGTAATTGCGTATCATTACTCCTTTTTTAAAAATTACAAAAGTGGGGGCACCTGGGCAGCCCAGTTGGGTAAGCAGCTAACTCTTGGTTTTAGCTCAGGTCTTGATCTCAGGGTGGTGACATCGAGCCCTGCGTTCAGCAATATGCACGATGCAGAATCTGCTTGAGAATCTCTCTCCTTCTCTCCCTGCCCCTCCAACTTGTGCTCTCTCTCTCTCTCTAAAACAAACAAATCTTCAAAAAAATTATGAAAGTGGCTGCGTACTTACTGACTTAGATGGCATTAAAAAGCTCAAAATGCAGAGCCGCAATCTCTACCACAGCTCCAAGGAAATAAAATACCTCTGCGATGATCTTCTGGTAGAAACACATTTTCAAGTTTTAAGGTCATGCTTATACAATTCTAGAATACCTGATTTAAAAATGAGAGAGCTCTTAGCCGGCTTTCCTGCCTTCCTGCATCCACGCAGAGACAGCCCTTTTAGCAAACTGACCTTTTGGTTTGGTGTTGGATAAATGGTCTGAAGCAGCTTTGTGCCTCTACCCTGCAGCCTGGCTCTGTGGAGAAGTGGCTCTAATGGGGACTTCACTCTCATTATCTCCGAAGGATTTTATGGGAGAGAAAAGCAGTATGAAAAGATTGAGTGATATTTCAAAGAGAATAAATAGAACGGGGCCTGGGCCTGGCTTCACAACTGACTCACCCAGGGAGCCATGGGAAAGCACTAATCTTTTTTGTGCCTCAATTTTCTGCCTCTCTTCCCTCAAGGAGACCATGAAGGCAAATAATATAGAGTCGATGATGTTCTTGGAGTTTCGAGAGGCATGAAGACTTATTTCCGTTTTCATGGCTAATAGCATTTTTTTAAGTATGATAAAAAAAAGTAATTGCCTTTATTTGACTGAGAGTCAAGTTTCCAACAAATTGGTAGGATCACATATTGGTACATGTAGTGATCTTAATAGTACCTGTATGGGTTTACTTGCTGAAAGAGGAATTGTTCATGGAGAAAGGGAGGAAAAACAAAATAAGACAAAATCAGAGAGGGAGACAAACCCTAAGAGACTCTTAATCATAGGAAACAAACTGCAGGTTTGCTGGGTTGGGGGGGAATGGGTGGTGGGCATTAAGGAGGGCATGGTGGAATGAGCATGGGGGGTCATATGCAACTGATGAATCACTAAATCCTACCCCTGAAATTAATAGTACACCTGTGTTAACTAAACTGAATTTAAAGAAAAAAAATTTTTTTTTTTTTAAAGAGGAATTGTTCAAGGGATTCTCAGCATTTTCACTCCCTCCAGCTATGAATATCTGAGGTTTTGGATTTAGTTGTTTTTTTGTTTGTTTGTTTTAAGATTTTATTTATTTACTTGACAGAGAGAGAGATCACGGGTGGGCAGAGAGGCAGGCGGAGGTCGGGGAGGGAAGCAGGCTCCCTGCTGAACAAAGAGTCAGATGTGGGACTTGATCTCAGGATCCTGAGATCATGACCTGAGCCGAAGGCAGAGGCTTAACCCACTGAGCCACACAGGCGCCCAGTTTTTTTTGTTTTTTTTTTTGTTTTGCTTTGTTTTGTTTTGTTTGTTTTTTAAGATTTATTTATACTTGGGAGGTTACATGCACAAGTTGGGGGAAGGAGCAGAGAGAGAATCTCAGGCAGATTCCCCGCTAAGTGTGGAGCCTGAAATGGGGCCAATCTCATGACCCTGAGGTCATGATCCAAGCCAAAACCAAGAGTTGGACATTCAACTGAATGAGCCATGCCAGTGCCCCAGCAAATATCTGTTTTTGGTGCCCATTTTGTCGCCCTTCTTGCTTCATCAGTGTTTCTCTTTCTAATCTAAGTGTCCACTGAGAGCAGATTGTGCCCTCCTCAGCTTTATTATCTCACATAATCTGGCCCATCATTAGTGCTGTAAAAACAAGAAAGGAAGGGAGGAATGAAAAAGGAAGGACGATCAGACCATCATCCACATCCACCCATGGACACTTTTGTACCAAGGAGTTTCAAAGTGCTTGTCACCAGGACAGAAAACTCCCGCCCTCAGGAAGCTTACAGTCCCTCACGTATATAGTCCTTTGGACTATGTACAAATACAGCACGTACGGAGCATCAGATGGTAACCAGCCCTATACAAAGAAACAAGTTTGGACAAGAGAAAGAGAGGGATAGAGGGCTGGCATTGAACACTCTAACTGTAGGAGGCCACTCGGGAGAGTTGGGGAGGGGCGACGAGGCATGATACTCTCCTCCTGTGGGTCTCCGGAACATGGCAGGTGTGCTGGGCTGCCAAGACAGGAGGAGCCAGTTAAATATATAACCACGAAAGGAATCGAGGTAGATACCACAGATTATTAAAAAAAAAAAAAAAGAAGAAGAAGAAGAAAACCATGCCCAGATCCTCACTAATTAGCCTAGAATGTCCTTTGAGGAGAGTAAAAATAACTCCCTCTTCATAGATGACCAAACAGCCAGACGCTCTTGTTGCTCGCGCTCCATCATGATGCCCACGCTGGCTGCAAGGACAGAAAGTCAAACAGGAACCAGGTAGGGTGTTTATAAAAGGAGTACTCACGTAAGCCCATTTAGGTACAATGCTGGAAAATATCCCCCCCCCCCCCGTTTGTGCACTTTCTGGAATGTTAAGCCTTCTCCAGTACCCATCCCTTAACAAGAGTCACAGACAGAACATTACTGCTTCTGCAGCTGCCACTCTGGCTGTAGTTACTCCAATATGAAAGCCAGATTTCTCAGGAGACCTTGCTCACTGAGTAAATGCTGAGCCAAGCTGAAAAGCCTCTGCACATACCTTCCCATTCTTCTCGGCCTTCGTTTGTTTTCTAATAATTGCCCAGCTTTTAAAAGGGACTTTATGAAATGACATCGAGTCTTGTCTTGATGGTAACTGGAGGCGTCAATCAACCAAGCAGATTCTAAACAAATGTAACATTTTCTATGTTGGGACAAAAAGTTACTGGCTTCACTACAAGGAACTGTAACTCTGTTGTGTTTCTGTAGGTGCAAAATTCTCATTATAACCTGGTACATTTTTAAATTCCTTTCTAGTGATCATTCTCCTCTAAGAATGAATCCAGTAAGTTATGTATCTGGAAAGATGTATGGAACCTCTGAGGTCCCCAGGGGCTACAGGCATAACTCATTGTAGTGCATTTCACTTTACTGTGCATCACAAATAATGTGTTTTTTTTACAAATTGAAGGTCTGTGGCGACCGTGAGTCAAACGAGTCTATCAAGCACCATTTTTCCAACAGCATTTGTTCACATCGTGTCTCGGGGTCACATTTTGGTAATTCCTACAGTATTTCAGACTTTTTCATTATTGCTGTGATTGTTTCAGCGATCTATGATCAGTGATCTTTGATGTTACTATTGGGATGGTTTAGCACACCAGGAAATCTGCCCATATGAGACAGGGAACATAATCGATAAATGTTGCATGTGTTCTAACTGCTCCATCAACCAGCTGTTCCTCTGTCTCTCTCCCTCTCCTTGCACCCACCCCCCATTCCCTGAGACACAGCAATATTGGAATTAGGACAATCAATACCTTTACAGTGGCCAATAGGAGTTCAAGTGAAAGGAAGAATGAGTTGATATGGCAAACTTCGTTGTTGTCCTATTTTAAGAAATTGCCACTGCCTCCCCACCTTTAAGTAACCACCCTCTAATCAGTCAGCAGCCTCAACACTAAGGTAGAGACCCTCCACCAGCAAAAAGATTATGGCTTGTTGCAAGGTCAGATGATAGTTAGCATTTTCTAACAATGAAGTATTTTTTTAATTAATGTATAATGCTATTATACCCTTAGTAGACTACAGTATAGTGTAAAAATAATATTTATATGCACTGGGCAACCAAAACAAGTCATTTGACTTGTTTTATATGATATTTGCTATATTGTGGGGGTTTAGAACCAAACCTGCCATGTCTGAGATACACTTGTACTGTTTAGGAACGTACACAATCCTGAAGTAAGTTGTGAAACAAATACTACACAACCATTTAGTCCATTAATACCAAGTAATTGACCTACCTAATCACTTATATTCTCTTGTAAACCAAAACTTTCATATACGATAATGATAAGGAATTGGGGACAATCTGACAATCAATGAGAGATGGGAAATCAGTAAACCCAGTTTTTTATCCAACAAAAATAACTGATTCACTCTGTAAACTCATGGCCAGAGACTGTTGGAAAACTATCTCTGGAAGTAATTCAAGGCTATCTGGCCCCACTTTCTTATTTTAAGGATAATAAAACCATAGTTCTGGTTGGTGAATGAGCTTACCAGCAGTGTCATGACCAATACATTGTAGGTCAGGAACTAGGATTAGAACCCATTCTCTGCCCTGTGTGGTTAGCACAACGCAGGCCATGTTCTTGTGTTTTGTATACCTGGAGAAGAAAGTAAGGCTCTTTGGGATTTCTTTTCTAGCACAGATCTAGCATCACTAAAAAATCTGCTCTGACTTAGGGTTCCAGCCTTCCATCACTCAGGCTCAAAAACATTTGTTTAGGACACTTCCCATCTCTTTTATGATTTGACCTGTATTTTGTTTAATGAAGTTGGACTCCTGAATCCCAACTTATAATGCAGAAGCACTCGACCCCGTGTGCTGGAATCCAGACGTGCGGGGAGGGTCTACACCATGTCACACGGCCAGCTCCGCGTTGAGCTGTACCCCGAGCAGGAGGGACTTCAGCAGCGAAGACAACTCCTGCCGTTGCTATGAGGGATTTCTTTGTGCCCCGGTCCTATTTTTGCCCTTTCTCCATGTTCAAGTCTCTGATGTTTTATAGGACACCTGGAAATACGTGTCTGGATGACCTGGTCTGATTATGCAAAGTCATGATTCAGGCCATACTCCTGCTTTCTGCATTGTTGGCGTTCATCTGCTCCCTGACTCAGGGGGTCACCTTTTAGCAGATGACTTTTTGATGCCTGGGTGTTTTCAATGACAAAGCAGAATTGGTAAAGCATGAGTCCCTTCTCTTGATCAAAAGTTTTTTTCTTTTATCAACATTTACTTCCTTTTTTTAAAAATGTAAATTCAATTAGCCAACATAGTTTCAGATGTAGTGTTCAGTGATTCATCAGTAGCATATGATACCCAGTGTCCCTTGATCTAAATTTTATTAAAATGTCTCTTTTAAGAAGCACCTTTAAAATTATTCTACTTGTGGGGGCACCTGGGTGTCTCAGTTGGTGAAGCGTCTGCCTTCAGCTCAGGTCATGATCCCAGGGTCCTGGGATCGAGTCCAGCATCGAGCTCCCTGCTCAGTAGGGAGTCTGCTTCTCCCTCTCCTTCTACCCCTCCCTGTGTTTGTGCTCTTGTTCTCTCTCTCTCTCTAATGTATAAATTAAAAATCTTTAAAAAAAATTATTCTACATAGACCCTTATTAATCCTCTTCACCATAAGGCATTAAATTAAAGGCACTGAAGAGATCATCCTAACACTTAAAATATGAAAACAAGGTTAACAAATGAATTTGATCCATCACAATTTGCTGTTCCAATCGGGCAAAAATACATTCTAAAATCTTTATATTTTATGAAATAATATCCTTCTGAAATGTTTAAAAGTAAAAAAGAAGAAGAAGAAGAAGGAGGAGGAGGAGGAGAAGGAGAAGAAGAAGTTGTTGAAGAAGTTGTTTTTGTATTGTCTCTCCTGCTCGCTCTTCCTGGGTCATCACTCCTGGCTGCCATATCAGAAACAGGGCAGAAGGCCCTAAATGTAATACCGACCAACAGTAAAAAAGATGAGAGTATTGATCACCATCAATGGAACCAATCTGCCTCATTTTTCTAAGATCTGGGCCATATATTTTTTTCTGCATTTGACAAAATTTTCTAACCAGAATGCCTTTTTGGCCATGAGCACCCATTACAAGATAATTTAATGGATTCACTTTGTGCCTATGGGACGGGACAAGGCTAACTCTCTGGGGCTTCAGCTTTGATTTTACGTCCTGAATTCTATCCAGCCACACTAAGGCTCCACACAGGGGTACTTGCTGGCAGCTTGGGATAACTTCTCCCTTGTAGATAAACATCACTACATGGTTTCTGGATAAGGATTTGGAAACTGTTTCTGTCTTCTGTTAACCTGGATGACATACAGGACAAGTCCTGAGAGAATTTGGTTCAATGGGAAAATGCTCTTCTATGTTGCTCCTTGTTTTGTCATCTGGAGACCATGTCCACACAGGGAAAACCATCTGGAGGATAACTGGAAAATCTAAAAAAAAAAAAAAAAAAAATATTGTATTTCACATTCCCAGCTATATACCATATGTATCTGCTTATGTGAAGATAAGAAAAGCAAACACCAGAGAATTACTAAAAATTTCCTTACTCACCAAAATTGCTATCCCTCAGCAATTCCTTTTTTTTTTTAAATATGGATTAATAACCAAATGCTTCCCTCTAAGGGTACTAATTAGGTGAAATCAAGTAGAAATTTCCATCTTAAGAAGACCGAGTCCCAAATAACCCACCCAGAACATAGTTCTATTTAACAATTCTCTGGCCTCTTGTGTATAGTAGACACTTCCTGCAACATGATGATGGTCTGTGTCTACCCTCTCCATTATGCTCTATCATCCTGCATGGACAGATGTGTCCACAAATAATGACTGAAATATTTAGGGTTAGAGTCGGTGAGGTGTAAAGTATTGCCTGAGCCATTTGTGATTAATAAACCATGACACGTACGTTGCTCAGCAGCCTTCAAACACATATTCCATACAACGTGACAATTAGCTAAAATGTGAGAGCAAGATCCACAAGATCTGAGAGCAAAATTGCAAACTGCTGAGGAGTAACACCCTGTATTTTCCACCAGGGAACGTGGGAAAGCATCCGAGAGGACAATCCAAGACAAATTCCATCTGTAGCAAGTGAGAGGACCTGCCTAATTCTTTAACATGTAAGTGTAAAGACTACTGGTTTCTAAGAGATTAAAGATTTCTTGTGAAGATAATGAAAATCTTGGCTTCTCTGTCGCCGTTTTTCATGTGCTTCATGCTTCCCTTTTTGCATAATTTAAGTGAGCTGTGCCATTATGTCTCCTTTCATTTATGGAGAACCAGTGTCTAGTCATCGAGTGTCTGGGGGTAATTTTGCTTTGAGTCAAAAAGCAGCGCAGCTTATAAGAAAGGCTGGTCTTTAAAAATGTCTTTTCTCTTAAGAAAAGAGCACTGTTCAACTAGACTAACATGACTCAGCCCAGTTCTCACCTTTAATATGCCTTTTAATCCTGAAGCCAGAGCACGGGGCTGACTGATACCTGGGGATGTTGTCATTGCAGCTGGGAAGGATGAGTTCTTGCAGCAATATCTGTGGGTCCAAGCAGTTGCAGGCAGCTACAGAGGGCGGGTACCAGCGCTACGGAGTCCGGTCCTATCTGCATCAGTTCTATGAGGACTGCACCACCTCAATCTGGGAGTATGAGGATGATTTCCAGATCCAGAGATCACCTAATAGGTGGAGCTCAGCATTCTGGAAGGTAAGGAAAGAACACATGTGTAAGGCAAGAGATGGAAATGTTATCGGCTGTGGTGAATCCTGTAGCTGTGAAGAGCTGAGGGTTCTGGTCTTCTCTGTGTGCCTCCGTCTTGATGATCCTAAGGGCAGTCTTCTTCCCTTAGGAACAGAGAACATAAACCTTGAGCTGAAGAAAGCCCCCGAATGCAGGACAATGGTTGATTTGCAGGTTAAACATAAATAGGTATAAATGCCATCATTAATTATTATTTTTGATACTGATATTGATGGACCGCTGAATTCACCAGCTGGGAAGCCACCCATAGGCAAAATCATATAAGCCCTCCCCCCAATAGGCTTGGTAAGCATCATTTGACATATTGCAATAATTATTAAAGAGAAATGATCAGGTATTGAGAGAGATTTGAGGCTGAGGCATAGTACGATGGTCAGTGATGGTCAGCGTGCTGTCTCTGCCTCTACCAGCCATGATCAGGAGACTGTTAGCTTGAGTTTCTCCACAGCATCTCTTCAGACAGCATATTCAGTCATTCAGTGTACAATTATGAGCCCCTACTCTGTGCCGAGAAGCTGCAACGTGCTAGACATTAAAGTGATGAGAAGGAAAAGCCCTTACCCTCTTGGAACCTGTAACTGATCACAGGAAACAGACCATAAATGAATAAACCACATACTAGGAGGTCAGGTGGTGACTAGCGCCGTGGAAAGAAACGCGTCTGGACAAGACGGTAGGGAGTGATGGAGCCAGGGTGTGGCATAGGCTGTTCATAGACAGTCTTTCAGAGGAGACGCCATTGGAGCAAGTGCCAGGACGAGCTGAGGGACAGGACTGTAAGACGATCTGGCTGAACGTCCTTCTGGGCTGGGAAGAAAGCTCTGAAACGGGAACCGATTTTGGGTGCTTGAAAAGTAGCAAGAGTTCCAGTCTGGCTGGAGTGGAAGGAGGGGGGAGGGGTAGGACAGGTGGTGGATCCAGAAAAATAATGGGACAGAGATGATTTGTGTAGCCCCTTGTAGGTGTTCATGAGGACGCTGGCTTTTTCCTGGAGAGGTATGGGGAGCCATTTTGAGCAGACGAGTGACATGAACTGACTTGTATTTTAACAGGATCATACTGACTACAGCATGGAAAGTAGATTATAGGAGCACATGGGTCGAGGCAGCCAGATTATTTACGAGGCTCTGAAAGCACTGAGGCAAGACGTGATGCTGGCTTGGATTAGGGTGGTGTTGGTAGAGATGGTGAGAAGTAGTCTGATTTAGCATAAAGTGTGAAGATCACATTGTGAGAACGTGCCGACAAGGTAGACGTGAGAGAAAGCAGAGTTGGCACGCCTCCGAGGCCTGCAGTCTGAGCTATTTACTGAATGATGTTACAGTTTTCTGGGATGGGAAACCCTGGGAGAGCAGTGGCAGGGGTGGGGAACCAAGAGTCCGAGTCTGGCTGTGCTATGCTGGAGATGTGAGTGGGGATCTCTAGTGGCGATTCACATAATGCTTTTGAACGTGGACTCCGCCGTCCTTAGATTACACGGCTTCAAACCTCAGCCCTTCCATTTCACAGCCTGTACCTTTGGGCAAGTTAACTGACTGTAGTGAGCCCAGTGGCGATGCTTATCATACCTACCAGGTAAAGTTGTGAGAATTAAGTAAGATGTTTCATATGTGTTCAAGGATTCAGTGTATCAGTCCCTACTATCAGAGGTCCAATGAAACATTGGATCCTGAAGTGGAAAGAAAATTTGAAATCTAGTTAATAAATAAAGTACTGGGCAACACAGTCGTTAACAGGGATGAGCCAAGACCCGCATTAATTCGATATCTTACAAGTGTCAGGTACTCCGCATTAAAATTGGTTGACCCAGAATCCTTGCCCTGTAGAAATGTCATCTCTGATGAATCCTCACTGGCCTGGACCGATGAAATACGCAGCCAAGCTTGGCACATCTTGTATTTACCCAGTTAAGTGGGTGGTTGCTTCCCCATGTGTAAAAAAAATAAATATTTGCCTGACAGATCCGTCGTGCCAAGAGCCTGAAATGCCAGTATCATACAGAATACTGAAAGCATTCACATGGTTCCAAGGCACAACCAAGATGAGATATGAGAAGCTATAAATCCATCAAACGAGACTCAGGTATGGATTTCAAATAAAGAACCCATCGTTAATGACCAACCCCGGGATTCAGATTTCGGAATTCTGTCTTCTATCTGACACAAGCAAGGTTCAAAAGTACTTGTTCCCCCATTATGCTGAACCTACTTCAAAAACTAAAAACAGGCAAAAGTCCATGGGCTCATAGAGATTATATTCCAGCAAAATCCAAATCCTAGACTCAGATCCTCATCACAAAACACAAGGCTAACATTCAGAAGCTTAGAGTCAACCTGAATCACGTAAGAACTCACTTAGAAACCCGTCCTCTACCGGGGTAAGACACTGACCGTTCTTCCGTTTCCTTCTAGGAAGGACAAGGGAATCCATTCCAGTGGGTCTTATGAAATGTTTCCTATCAGTACAGAGAAAGGCAATGGTTATGCCCATGTTTCTAATCATGACTCTTTTTTCTGATTTTCTTTCATTTCAAACTGCATCTGTAGGTGGTTCAAGTTACGGGCTTCCCCTTGCCCCCTTCCCAATAAAGCGGTGCTAAGGGATTCTTGGTCTCTTGCTGGAGGCTAGGACATTGCCTCTGAGCCGGTGTCAGAGCTGTGGGCAGCTTGGAGGGGCTTAATGAGGATGGAGATTGGACTCTGATGAGCTTGAGTTAGAATCTCTGCCCGCCACGTGCATCTGGAGAGCCTGTAGCTCACGGTGCTAGTCGTTCTTTCTCTCTACAAGTGATTCTGTGTCCACTGTGTGCAGGGTCACGTGGGAGGCTTGGTTGTGAACAAGATGTGGTTGTTCACCTGTGAATTAGATACAGCCTTGACCTGAAAGAGCTGGCGAAGAAGGTAGGCATGTCTGCAGACAGCTACAATCCAGCATGATAAATGCTACCCTCAAAGGAGTCCCAGAACTTACTGGGAGCATAGGGATTGGGGGCAGGGAGGGTCTGAGGCAGCCTGGGGAAGCAGTGGCTCCACAGAGAGATCCCCTGGGAAGAGGAGACTTTGGAGGAGGGGGGGCAAGAGATGAATGGGGGAAGGTACACAAGAGTGGGATCACAGAAGACTTTGAAAGGCTTTGAAATCAGTACTTTTCCGGAACCTTCTAGCTTGAGTCCAGCAAGTGGGCAAGAAAATAAATGTAGGCTTTCTCAGGGAGGTTGTCTCATAGGTGTAAACACACACACACACACAGGATTACACACACTCTCTGGACCCCACAGGTTCTACCCTCTGGCTGCCTCAGCCACACCTCCTTTATCCTAGTGCCTGCAACTCCTGGCACACACAAGGTTCCTGTGACATGATCCCACTGACACCCTGCCTCCTGCTGCACTGCCCATGAATCAGGCTGGCTGGGGGGGGGAGGGACTTTTCTTCTTGGTCTTGCACTTGACCTTGACAAGAGCTGCTGACGCCCGTTTGTGCAACAGATCACCTCAGTTAGGCAGCTGTGAACTAAAGGAGCAAACCCCTTACCCCATCCATGCTCTCCTTACCTCAGAGTCACCCTCCTTCCTACCTTCTCCTCACCCATACTAGAAATCTCTCAAACGGTGTCCCCAGCCATGTGTAGGCATGAGATAAGACCGTCTTAATGGGGAGTGACTCGGGCTCCCCTCTTTCCTCCCAAGACCCTCCTCCCCTCTGTCCTGATGTCTCCAGTTCCCACACTGAGCTAAGTCAGAGTTTAAGTATCTGTCTTAGATTTTCTTCAAAGTATAGCTAGAGATTGCTGAATTGGTTTTATACTAGGAATGAGAGGAGCTCTGTGACTGGGTGGATGGCAGGAGCACAGAGAAAGTGGGAAGGAAGGGAGGGAGGGAAGGGAGGGAGGAAGAGAGGAAAGGAGGAGGAAAGGGACCATTTTGAATATCTGGGGTTTGAGGAGCCTTTGGGACATTTTTGTGCAGATCTTACCACTGGCTGTCAGAAGTCCAGGGTGAGAGCCCAGGAAGGAAATCCAGGCTGGAGATGGGAGCTTGGAAGTCACTGGCACGTAGATGGGAGTTGGAATGACAGCTGCACATGCAACCCTAGAGAGATCTTGAACAAGAGATGTGAGTCAAGGGGGAACCCTGGGAAACACCAGTAATTTGAGAACATCTGGCAAAACAGGTTGAGAGTGCCTTGTTAAAGATGCAGATGTAGAAACAGGAAAGAGTCGTGTCGGGGACAAGAGTTTTTAAGAAGACAAAAGCACTTAACATCACTGGCTGCAGAACATTCGAATGAGGTCACACTGGATTGGACAATTAGGAGGGTTTTCATGACCTTGGAGAAACCAGTTTCAGTGACACTGTAGGACTCGGCTTGAATATCAAGGATTGGATGAGTTCAAGCCGTAGCTAAAGAGAGACACAGGGCTTCGGAATAGCTTTTGAAGATGGGGACAGTTGGCTGTCTTCCCATGCTGGAGGGACCGAGCCTCCATCAGGTGGGAGACCAAGGGCGGGGTGCGAGGTATCATGCCTGGGGGGCGCGTGGGCCTGGATCCCAGCTGGACATCAATGGATGCTCCACAAAGCTCAGTTTCCCTACAAGCAGGTCAGGCCAGGTGAGTTCCATCTGCTGTCATTGCTGGCAAGGGACAGCCCTCAGAGCCCGGGTCCTGCTCAGGAGAGGTCAGAGTGGCCTTCAGGGCTGATGAGGAAGATGCATCCCTCTTCCGTCCTGCTGCTCCCTCCCCTGCATGTTACCTCAAAGCCAGAGGGCTCCTTTCACCTTCAGCTCCTCAGCTCCGCGCCGTCCTTCCTCCCACACTGGCTCTCACTCCCAGCGGTCATTACCACGCCCTCTGCTGGGACAGCTGCCCAGCTCCTGCCAGCAGCCCTCCTTTTTTGGAGCAAACGGAGGTATGTTCCGACCTCGTCTGCTCACGCAGAGGTGATGACGGGGATGCTGGTCTGAGTCACAGCCGGAGCCAGCTGGCAGCCTGCATCACCAGGGTTTCTGGAATCCGGGTTCTCCTCCCTGTCCTAGCCCCCTTTCCAGCAGCAGGTGCTGGATTCTCACACATCGTCCCCACAACAAGGATGCCATCAGAAGTCACCGTCCTCGCTGCGGCCTGTAAGGTTTGTCCCAGCGGAGGCGCCCTTCGCTCTCGGCATTGGGCCGGCCCAACCACCAGCCATCCCAGGGGCTCCACCAGGCCCCAGGGGGCCCTCTCCCTGCGGGGTCCCATCTCTCTGCATGGACCCACACCGGGCTGTCTGCGCTCTCAGACCCTTAAGGAGCCCTGTGTTGCATTTTTTCAAACTCTATTTAATAGAGCCCCCTTTCTCTTAGGCCAAGGACCACTTCAACTTAGAGAGACCATTTTTACGGCTCTATATGGCATCACTCCCCAAATCTTCATTCCTTTCCATTCTCCAAGATGGTACCAGGGTTAGGCTGATGCATCCCAGCATCCCGTCTCGCCTCTGTCCCGTGCTCCGTGGAGACGGCATCCTTCAGATCCCACGCGTGCCCCTCCACTCCCGCCCTCCCGTTCCCTCCCAGACATGTCGCCGTGTTCTGGGTCCTCTCTGGGCCCCGGGGCTCGGAGCGCCTCTTTAAACTTGCATGGAGGGCTCCTTCTGGACCCTGGGAGTCGGCTGTCCGCCGCCGCCCTCCCCTCCAGAGACAGCAGGCCCCCCTCGGATACCCCCGTTCAACAAGGGCAAAGGGAGAAGTCTCGGGAGGCCAGCCCCTTTCCAGTTCTTGAAGTGCTTGAAGTGAGCAGGAGTTCTGCCATCTGCAAGGCACCGTTTGCCTTTTAGCTTCCGAGGGAGGTTCCAAGAGTGGATTTTCATCTCTACGTCGCGGCTCAGTGGAGGAGCAGGCTGCTCCCGGATTCGGTCACCTGGCTCCGCCAGCAGCGGTCTGGCGGTCAAGTTCAACGGTTAGAATGTTTACGGAGTGTAAGGCGGGAACGAGAGATGTGGAGAGCAGGGCAGGACTAGCAGACACGGGGCGCTGGCCTCTGTCACTCTTCAGAACCTCAGAAACGACGATGGCTACACTTACAGTCCTCAGCTTTTGAAAACGAGTGCCAGTCCTTGAGGAAGAAAGGGATTCAGTGACATAGGACGCATGTCAGCGTGGATATTAATGTTCATTTAGCTCGCGCATTCAGAATTTTCCAGCGTGACTCACTTTTTTAAGTTACAAATAATGGTTAGGCTTTGGGGATGAATTTGCCACTATTTTCAGAAACATAAAGAAAGCCATCCAAAACGTGATTTTTTTTTACAACCCAACTTTTCCTATGGTACTTGAGGTCTCATGTAGAAAAGGTTCTTTTCTTTTCAGAAGACTTTATATTGACTGTTTTTTTCAGTTTCTGTATAATATACATAATGGAAATTTGTCCCTCCATGGTGACTAAAACTCTGTGGTAATTTAAAAAAATAATAATAGCACATAAGTAATTGGTGAAGTGCCATGGGAGGATAAAAGGGGAGTGTGAGGCTTGGTGATCACACCCACCTGGGTTAGAGCCTGGTCGTGCCAGCTGCTGGCTACAGGACCCTGAACGATGCTTCTCCTTCCCCACTGGCCTCCGTCCCCTCCAGGTGAAATGTAGATAAAAATACCTCCTTGGGGCGCCTCAGTGGCTCAATGGGTTGAGCCTCTGCCTTTGGCTCAGGTCATGGTCTCAGGCTCCTGGGATCGAGCCCCGCATCAGGCTCTCTGCTCAGCGGGGAGCCTGCTTCCTCCTCTCTCTCTGCCTGCCTCTCTGCCTACTTGTGATCTCTCTCTGTCAAATAAATAAATAAAATCTTAAAAAAAAAAACCACCTCCTTTTCATAAGAAGCTGCAGAGCATCAAGGGAAAAAACATAGCGAACCCTATGCCTAGGTTGTGAGCGAGAACTCCGTAATACCAGCTCTCTGATGGACTTGGGAACACGTTTTCCTCCTATTATCCCAATCTTCTTTATTACTGCATTACCCTAAAACTTAATAAATAATAAATAATAATAATAAATAATAAACTTAATAAATAAATTAAATAAATACGCTTTAAATTCAAAGCTCAAGATAGCTCTCTATCCAAGTGCTATGCATTTGGTTTTTTTCCCAATGTTGTTATGCTCAATAAAGCAATTAGGGACAGGAGGAAATGTATTTAAATGTACTTAGAAAATAAATAACTGTATTAGCTGACCTTCAAATACTCAGATCGTTCTAGTGCTGTTGCCGGTGTAGCATCATTTCACAAGAGGCGCGTCTCCAGATGGATGTAGTGACAGCTACTTGTTACAGTGGTGGCTTCACCAGGCGCCGGGCTCCGTTTTTGAGCTTGGCCTCGCTTGGTCCTCTCCACCACTCCGGTTATCGTTTAGCCTTTTATAAAGGGGGAAATGAATGAAGAAAGTGTTTAGGCAACTTTCCTTCTGTGACAAGTACTCGTTGGCAGTGCCGGAAGCCATGCCCAAATCTGTCCGTTCCAAACCACCGCAGGGCGGACAGCCCTCTCCCGCTTCGGCATGTTACCCTGTATCTGAACTGAGCTAATGCAGTTTCTCTACCACTTGCTCGCCAATGTCCGTCCTTGGACCAGTGACCCATCCTCCTTGAGGGGAAATTTCCTGACCTGTAAACTAGTGATTATGGTGCCCTCCCAGCACCTTGGGGGAAGAGGTGGGTACTTACGCGGATTGCCCGTGTCCTCCACCCACGTCACCGGGAACATACGTGCAGGCTGGACAAGTTGAGCTGATCCCTCGTCGCAGGGAGAGGTGTGACACCACAGGGTGTCCTGGGGAATTTCAGTAAGAGTGTGAGGAAGGATGTGTTATGGCTTTGGGTGGGTGAAGGGTGTGTGGGAGCTGGAGTTGGCTCTCGATCACCACGGCCCATTCTATGATCGGACAATAAGTAAATGGTAAATCTGACCCACAGGGAGGGACAGGCCAGGGTAAGACCGAAGCTGTCCTGGGTAAAGCAGGAGCCACTGTTCGTATTACCAGGGATGGGGGGTGGGTGGGAAGGGAGACTGTGGATGGTTGGTGCTTGGCACAATGACCCTGTTTGTCGTCTGTGCTTAGACAGAATGATGAAATGGACTTGTTTCGTGTCCCTCCATGATGGGCACAGAGCAAGCCCATCGGATGCAGACATTCTGTGTCACAGGTTATATCCACAGGGGGACGCTGCAGCCTACCTGTGAGCTCCAGGCCAGCTTCTCAGAGCACCAGGGCCTAGTGGAGAGGCAGGGTTCTTCACGGGAGCAAGATTGTTTCACTGTTGCTCACAGACTCAAGGGGACAACTCAGACCGAAGGTGATCGGGCCGCTGCAAAGCTTTTTGCTTTGAGAAAGCTCAAAGGAAACCGTTAAGGCAGTGCTGGCTTGTCTGGTTGGCATTAAAACTAGAAAGTGCCTCCTTTCACCTTCTGTTATCGTTAGGAAATGGTATAGGGTTTGCATGCCAAATTTGGGGTGCAGGGGACTATTAACTGCTCCCAGAAGCCAGGTACTGCTCTAGGGAGCTCAGGAGAGCCCAGGCGATGAGCTCACCCTGTCCTGCCTCCCTGTGTCTTTCCCCAGGTCGGACTCATCTCCGGCACAGTCTTCGTGGTTCTCGGACTGACTGTCCTGGCAGTGGGCTTTCTGGTGCCCCCCAAAATCGAAGCGTTTGGCGAAGCCGACTTCGTGGTGGTGGACACGCAGGCCATGCAATTTAACGGGGCCCTCGATGCATGCAAGCTGGCCGGGGCCATTCTCTTCTGCCTCGGGGGCATGTCCATGGCAGGGTTCTTGCTGACGTCCGTGTTTGTGAAAAGCTACTCCAAAGAGGAAAAGCTTCTTCAGCAGAAGTTTAAAGAGCGCATCGCCGACATCAAGGTCCACAGCCAGCCCGTTACAAAAGCCCCAGGCCCAGGGGAAACAAAGATTCCCGTCACTCTGTCTAGGGTGCAGAATGTCCAGCCTATTTCAGCAACCTGAGACACCTCTCACCCCAGTCCCCCCTCTCTGATCACATGCAGTGTTAACAAGGAGCGGGGCCAGGTTTGGAGATGATAGGGCTTGGGCTTTGGCCGGCACCAGCCCGGGGCTTGGCTGCGGGCAGAGCGGTGCGGGAGCTCACATCGGCTGGGCTTGGGGTCTTGGGAGGAGGTGACCTCCCTGGAGACCTGTGCGTAGGCACCACGCTGCTTCAGGGGGGCTCGTGTGCCCATGGGGCACCCTCGGGAGCTCCCCTCTCAAATATCGTGACTGTCATTCCCCCGCATTACTGGAGAGCGCCCAGTGGTTTAGACCAGGTGACCAGTGGCTAACGTGGTGTGTTTTATTTTCTAATGTCGGTTTCCTGATTTTTCTTGTGTGGTGCTGCGTCTGTTCCTATCTCACTACGTGTAAGATATTGTCATGTGTGTTCATAGAAAAGTCGAGTTCCTTGATATTGACCCAAACGTTCGTCTTCTAACTCTCTCTTCACATGAGGTTGCTGAGAATGGGTACAAATTTATCGGAGTTCTCCGCCAATCTTTTTCTTTTTTTTTTTTTTTTTTTGTTTGGTTTGGTTCTCTCCAGTGTTTTCACTTGAAAAGCTAACATTGCCAACTTTAGAAACTTGGGGAAGAAATGAACTTTAGGAGTTTCTATGCAGCCTCTGAGAGCCAGGGAATAAGAAGCTACTACCCCCTAGCTGTGTGACCTTGGGGGTTTGTTTAAACTGCCCCGGCCTCAGTGTCCCCATCGATGCGACAGAGATCCTGGACTATGGTGTCTGAGATTCCTCCTTTGCCGCGTGGCATCGTGTCTCCTGGGGGCCAAGCCTGTGATGTCCCTGGGGCTCTCACCTCGGTGGGACTGTTTGAGATCTGGACTCCCAGAAAAATCTCCGAATCAGCAGCTACTCACGTTTCAATATCCAGCCCCAGCAGTTTATACAGTGCTGTCGTGTTTTTATAAAAACTAAAGTAAGCCATCCTCAAATAAGAAACCCGTGAGTAGATACTAACCTTAAAAAGGGTTTTCTTCCTCAAATCAGAGGTTTGATTCTCCAGCAAGATGCTCATCTCACCCCTACGCACTTTTACTTAATCTGTGGACTTAAACTGGACTGAGGAGAACATGACCTTGGTCTTCTCTCAGAAATCGTGCCACCTTCGAGTCCTGTCTCTCCTCTCTTTCCTCCCTCACTGGATAAATAAAATATGTGCCCAAACAGAACGTAAGTTGCCATGTCATTCCTTCGCTGCGACTGTTTTCTCTTCAAGGAACGAGTCTCCATCCTGAGGCTGGGGGGGCCAGCCCCCGGGTTTCCCTGGCGAAATGGAAGAACAGAGCAAGCAATTGGCCCTTCTGGTGTGCGCCGTTACGCACAGCCCAGCGGGGACCACGGGGCCCATCAGCACCCTCAACAGGGATCAGGGGCAGGTAGGGGAGAAATCATTCCAGCTTCCTCAGGTTCTCACCTTGCCATGGATGTAGCATTTTATTTTATTTTATTTTATTTTATTTTATTTTATTTTATATTTTATTTTATTTATTTTTGACATAGCATTTTAATTGTACCCTTGGAAGCCTTGCGTTAAGCCCCAAGCATCTGTTGAAGGCAACATCACTGGAAGCTTCCCGTGCTTGCCTCGGCGTTGTGTACCAAGGAGTCTTGGAGGATGGGACTTGACTTTTAAAAGCCCCCAGAATGAAAATTAAGGGCAGCGGGGCTTGGGAGCCTTTAGGTACAGGCATGATTGCAGCTATAAAAAAGCAGCTCTGGTCCCCCAAAGACCTAAAGGGAACCAAATCAGAGAGAAGCTGAGTCTGAAAAAGCAATTCTGCATGTCCCGTCTGTCCCGTCCTGCCCAGGCTTTGTGAGAGCAGGAGCTGGTGAGGGCCCTCCCGGCACCCTTGGCAGGGACTGTAGAAAGCAGAGGAGAAGGAGGACACATGCTTTGATCTTTGGAGAGGGTGGACCACGTGTACTCACAAGGAAGAGCCCACGAGGACTTTGTAAAGCCGGAGTGGGCAGACAGTGGTGGTAATGGCAGCAGAACGGCCCTAGAGCCTTGGGCTCATTCTGCCTGTTTCGGGGGTGAGGGGGATGAGGGGGAAGTGGAGCCATTCCCTCCTCCCTGCTACTGAAATTCCCATGGGTGCGCCAGGCAGTCTGTGCTCACAATGCCACTGGAGAAACACAATGTGTTAAGGCCTGGAGATCACACAGGGATAGCGTGGAGTGGGTCCCAGCCCTAGATGACACGGGCCCAGCCACACCATCACGGGTCCTGCAAGTGCTTGGAGCAGCAGTGAGGGACCCCTGCTGCCTCCTGCAACAAGCCCCTGCGTCTTTGGCTTAGGAAGCTTACCCTGAGATCTTTCCAAAATCTGCCTTTCTAAACCTTCCATTGGACCAAATTGGTCCACACTGGACCAAATCCTATCATTCAGAGTTACCTGCATGCTAACCCTGCTTATACTTACCTCCCCTCTCCCGGTCCTCCTGGCTGGGAAGATTTCCATGTGACCATTTCCTGTCCCCTCCTGCATTGTCTTCTGCAGGGAGACACATCTGTGTGCTCTTACTGTCCCTACTTCAACTGTGCCACCTACGAAATGGGGTCCCTACCCGTTTTCAAGTGTGTATCAGATTTAGAACCCCCGTGTGTGCACAGCACCTCAAGCCCGAAAACTGAAGGCACGGCCTCCTGGGGTCTGAGCTGGCTCCTTCCCAGACTTATTCTGATGCTCACTCCAGAGCCCTGCATCCCGCCCACACATCACTGCTTTTCTCCTTCAGCGAGCCTTCTCGCCCGGGGCTTATCCTCCCCGCTGTAACCACCTGCCCCTGCACTGGTGATTGGACCCGTCATTCAAGGCCCAATCAGGAAATAACAGCAATAATCACGGGACCTAATATATACTGAGGGGAAATCAGCCTCATCCTGGACACAGCCAGCATTGTGTACGAACACTTATCTGTCTCTGTTATAACTGGTTTACACACCTGTTTCTTCCATTAGCAGCTGGACTGTTAGCTGTTTGGGTGGCAGTGACCACATCTTAATGAGGGCAAACCCTCAAAAGTGCATATGGAAAAGCTGTGTGCTGCTATGACATGGGCACTTAAAACAACTATTGCGGATTTACTTAGAGCCAGGCATGAGAGAAGCAAAGAGATAATTGGTAGAGGCACTAAAATTTCTGACCTAATGAGAGAGAGAGAGAGAGAGAGAGAGAGAGTGTGTGTGTGTGTGTGTGTGTGTGTGTGTGTGTGTATACAGGGGATCTCGTGGACAGAATTAAGACCAGAGTATGGATACGGGTGCCTCAAAGCAAAGCTCTCCTCAACCCGACGCTTTGGACTGGGGGAGCCCATCTAGTGGCTGGCTCGCCATTACAATCTCTAAAACCAGAATCCTCCCTCCAAGGAGCCCTGCTCACTGACACAGAACTCGCAGGCATACTGCTCATTCCTGGGAGAATCGGATGGAAGACCCGGAATGGCCCGGGCAAGAGCAGAGTCATTGTCTCCAACGCTCCTAAACCAACCACGTGTTTCTTCATCCTTGAACATGGAAGTATGGCCAAAACGATCAGACACGTGAGGGCAGCACCTTGAAAGCAGAAACGCAGAGAGAATAACAGATTCCACGGGAAGCGTGAGTGTTTCAGGAATCACAGGAGAACTCTTAAAAAATCGAATTAGTCTTCAGGAAGAAATGGCACCCATAAGACAAAAATAGGATGCCATGAAAGAGGAACATCAAATGGTTTTAAAATAACAAATTGCTACATGAATAATTTGAAAACCCTTCCAGAAAAGTAAAATCCCATCTCGTAAAAATTTTAAAAGGAGATTAAAAAATAAAAGACCCAGAGAGTCCATCAAAGATAAAAAGGTAACAGGAGAAAAGAAGAGGAAAAATTATCAATAAAATAACAGAAGGAAACTACAGAATATAGAATACAGAATATAGAAATTGCCAGATTGGATGTGTTTGCTGGATATTCAACACCATGAATGGTTAAATAAAAGAGACACATTTTTGTGAAATTTCAGGACAAAAAAGAAAAAAATCATCCAAGAAGCTTCCAGAGAGAACAGACATCTATAAAATAATAAAAATCACAGTGGGCAGAGAAAAGGGCTGTGACTTCAGGCAATAGATGAGAACATTATTTTTGGCCTACAGAAACAGACACTGATTCTTATCATGGAGAAAAGAGGCAAGTGGTAGAAACCCCCCAAAAACATTTAGAGATGGGGCTCCTGGCTGGCTCAGTTGCTGGAGCATGGAACTCTTGACTTTGGGGTTGTGATTTCAAGCCCCATGTTGGGCCTAGAGCTTTTTTTTCAATTGTGTTACGTTAGTCCCCATATAGTACATCATTAGTTTTTGATGTTGTGTGCCATGATTCACTGTTAGCGTATAACACCCAGGGCTCCATGCAATCCATGCCCTCCTTAATACCCACCACCAGACTCACCCATCCCCCCAACCCCCTCCCCTCTAAAACCCTGTTTGTTTCCCAGAGTCCACAGTCTCTCATGGTTCATCTCCCACTCTGATTTCTCCCCCTTCATTTTTTGCCTTCTCCTAATGTCCTCCATGTTATTACTTATGCTCTACAAATGAGTGAAACCGTATGATAATTGACTTTCCCTGTTTGACTTATTTCACTCAGCATAATCTCCTCCAGTCCCGTCCATGTTGATGCAAAAGTTGGGTATTCATCCTTTCTGATGGCTGAGTAATATTCCATTGTGTATATGGACCACATCTTCTTTTAAATAAATAAAAGTGTTTTTTTAGGAAAAAAAGAAGGAAAATTTTAAAATAAAGTGCACAATGAAATCATGGTCCCAATTATTAAGCATGACTCTGGAATCATGGGGAAGAATTAATAGGAGTCTGAGACAAAAGAAGCCGTTGGAAACCCAACCTGCCTTCCCACTGGGCCCAGTCTATTGCTGGCAGGACAGGAGCTGGGATGGGAGCCTGGGAGGACCGAACCCTGCCCTCAAGGGTCCTGCCATGACATACACTTACAAAGCCAAAATAGTGCAAACCAATTATTTGTTT